GGCCAACATGGACGCAATTGGGAAAATAACAAAAAAACATTGACCCATGTTGTTGTGGACTCTTTTACTGACCTGATATATGCATATGATTCACACAGTAACCATCTAAGTGAAAGATGTTTCTGATATAAATTTTTTTAAACATTTTTTTGGGTTTTTGGATGTAAGCAGTCTGAAACCTAGCCATAAAAGTTCCTCACAATGCATAATGCTAATGCAAAAAATTATGTTTGGATGATCAGTATCAAACTTTTCTTGGAATCAAATGCAATTTCGTGTTTATGTGATAACCCGAATCCATTAGTATGGAACATTTTCTTTTCCAAGTGAAATCCACGAGTATATGAAAGAGTGAAAAAAAGCTTTTGTTGTTGTGGAATATAATTTAAAACATACCATGTTGATTGTTTCCGAGGAAATTGTGGGATAACTGAATTTTAGAATGATTTTCAGGTGGTGTAGAAAAGCTTTATTGTATTTTGCTTGATTCACATCGAAGGACATGGTTTTGATGCTTAAGCTTATTGTTTCAGTATGGAGCAGGAAGTTACTGAGATTCATATGGAGAAGGAGCCAAAAGGTGTCATAATTTACTCAAATTGTGTCTCCCACGATAAAAGTTACAAAATAGCAAGCTACCAAGATGAGTTACAACCGTTTGAACAAATTAATCCCAAACCAAAACCAGACGATGCATTGAAAGAGGATGCTGAACTAAAGGAGTATCAAATAAAGGAATGCAATACTGAGAAGTCGGTTGAGATCAGTAAACTTTGCCAAGTTGAAAAAGGTGAGGCCGAAGATCTGCCTAGCCCAAATGTTGATATTAACATGGCAAAGGAGGATGCAAAATCTGAAGGCCGGAAAACAACAGCTCACGAGAAGAGATCAATGACCTTTGGAAAATCTGCCACCAAATCAGCAGCTGGAAATTGTAAAACAAAATGCACTGTTTCACACCCATTTGCTCTGGCAACTGAAAAGCGCTCTTTATATGGTACTCACCCTCATGGGGATGAGTTTGATAAAGCATCTAATGTTGACAGTTCACCGCAGCCAAGCGCTGCAAAGATGAATCAGGTAAATATCCACACCAACCTCTCCAATTTTTACACTTCTTTCTAACTTTCTCTTCCCATAAAAGTGTTCTTGTTAATATTTCGACCTCAGCTTTTGTCTATCAAGCAGTTTATTTGGACTGGGGAAAACGTTTCCCCAGTAGTTCTTATATGTAGGATGTAGAATGTTTGTGGTTTTATTGTTTCATAATTCCTAATTCTTTGACTTGAAAAAGTTTAACCACTGAGAGAAAAGTTTTTACTCCTTGGGGAGTGAAAATCTTTTGTGTTTTTATGATTTTCTATTACATCTGTTGGGGATTGATTAAAAATCGAATGAAAAAGAAGGAATATCGAATGCTCGAAATTATACGTAATATAATGCTGCTGCACTTTTTTATGATTGTAGAAGAGATGATATTATATTGTAAATTTTTGTGTTTTCGATACTTTTAATGGCTTGAGTTATATGGGTATTTATAGATAAGATTTAACATGTATCTAGCCTAACTCATGAACCAACATTGAATAAATACGTTTCTCCTCCTCTAGTACATTAATGGACAAATGTATGTATAATTATAATTCATGAATCTAGATAATAAATGCAAATTACGTTTCCAACACAACAATAAAAAAATGTGTGTTACCTAGACAGCGGTTGCAGCAGTCACATGACTGGAAATAAAAAAAATTTCATTGATCTTGATGAGAATTTCAATTCAGAAATGAAGCTTGGTGATGGAAAGTTACATCGCACTGAAGGAAAGGGAACTATCGCTGTTCAAACTAAAGGAGGTAACAAAAAGCTCATGGGTGAAGTTCTGTATGTGCCTAATTTGACTAGTAACCTCCTTAGTGTTGGACAACTGCTACGCAAAGGATATTCTGTTTTTTTTTATGATGAAAAATGTAGAATATTTGACAAGAAAAGCAATTCCACCATCACCACAGTTCCTATGAGCTCCAATAAGGTGTTTCCCATGAATATGCCTCTTCAAGAAAAGGTGGCCTTCACAGGTGAAAATTTTGATCAATCTCAACTTTGGCATTTGAGATACGGACATCTTAATATCAAAGGGCTGCAACTTCTCAAGCAAAAGAATATGGTGATTGGACTCCCAGAAATTGAAGCAAAAACTCAAGTTTGTGAAGGATGCATATATGGCAAAATGCATCGACTTCCCTTTCCGAAAACATCTTGGAGAGCTAGAGAACCTTTGGAGGTTATTCATACGGATATTTGGGGTCCTTCGAGGACTCTCTCTCTTGGAAACAAAAGGTATTTCATTTTATTTGTCGATAACTATACAAGGATGATGCGGGTTTATTTTCTAAATGAAAAGTCCGAGGCTTTTTCCGCATTTCTCAAATTCAAAGCTCTAGCAGAAAAACAATCTAGTCATCAAATCAAAACTCTTCGGACAGATCGTGGAGGAGAGTTTATTTACACTCCATTTATGGAGTATTGCAAAGATAATGGTATTCAGAGGCAGCTCACTATTCGGAGGAGCCCCCAACAAAACAGGGTAGCCGAGCAAAAAAATCGCACCATTGTTGAAATGGCTAGAAGCATGATGATCGGCAAAAGTCTACCCAAAATATTTTGGACGGAAGCGATACACACAACTATTTATATTCTGAATCGATGCCCAACAAAGGTCGTTCGAAACCGAACACCGCTTGAAGCTTGGCACAAGAAAAAGCCCGTAGTTGATCACTTGAAGATTTTTGGCAGCATTGCATATTCTCATATCTCTACTCCAAATAGAGATAAATTTGATGAAAAAAGTGAGAAGTTTATTTTCATTGGCTATAGTGATGAGTCAAAAGGTTATCGCCTTTACAATCCTATAACTTGCAAGCTTGTGGTTTCAAGAGATGTTATTTTTGATGAAATGGGATCATGGAGCTGGGAAGGAAATTCGTCCAAATTGATATCTCAAAAGGAGTTCTACGATGCATCAAATTTTGAGGATGAACTCGGTCATGTTAGTCCACCTCAAAGTCCAAATCCTTGCCCACCAAGATCGCCGGTTCGAGATGAAAGTTCAAGTTCCGATTCACCGATTAAAAAGACTCGATCCTTGAGAGAAATTCTTNTTTGAGATACGGACATCTTAATATCAAAGGGCTGCAACTTCTCAAGCAAAAGAATATGGTGATTGGACTTCCAGAAATTGAAGAAAAAACTCAAGTTTGTGAAGGATGCATATATGGCAAAATGCATCGACTTCCTTTTCCGAAAATATCTTGGAGAGCTAGAGAACCTTCGGAGGTTATTCATACGGATATTTGGGGTCCTTCGAGGACTCTCTCTCTTGGAAACAAAAGCTCTAGCGGAAAAACAATCTACTCATCAAATCAAAACCCTTCGGACAGATCGTGGAGGAGAGTTTATTTACACTCCGTTTATGGAGTATTGCAAAGATAATGGTATTCAGAGGCAGCTCACTATTTGGAGGAGCCCCCAACAAAACGGGGTAGCCGAGCGAAAAAATCGCACCATTGTTAAAATGGCTAGAAGCATGATGATCGGCAAAAGTCTACCCAAAATATTTTGGGCGGAAACGATACACACAACTATTTATATTCTGAATCGATGCCCAACAAAGGCCGTTCGAAACCGAACACCGTTTGAAGCTTGGCACAAGAAAAAACCCGTAGTTGATCACTTGAAGATTTTTGGCAGCATTGCATATTCTCATATCTCTATTCCAAATAGAGATAAATTTGATGAAAAAAGTGAGAAGCTTATTTTCATTGGCTATAGTGATGAGTCAAAAGGTTATCGCCTTTACAATCCTATAACTTGCAAGCTTGTGGTTTCAAGAGATGTTATTTTTGATGAAATGGGATCATGGAGTTGGGAAGGAAATTCGTCCAAATTGATATCTCAAGAGGAGTTCTACGATGCATCAAATTTTGAGGATGAACTCGATCATGTTAGTCCACCTCAAAGTCCAAATCCTCGCCCATCAAGATCGCCGGTTCGAGATGAAAGTTCAAGTTCCGATTCACCGATTAAAAAGACGCGATCCTTGAGAGAACTTATTGAGACATCTGAATTTGCTCTCTTTACCTGTGAACCTCAAAGTTTTGAAGTTGCAGTGAAGGAAGAAACATGGAGAAAAGCTATGCAAGAGGAGATTGCCATGATAGAAAAAAATAAAACTTGGGAATTGGTGGATATGCCGAAACACAAAGATGTTATAGGACTGAAATGGATTTTCAAAACAAAGTATAATGAAGATGGAAGCATACAAAAACACAAGGCTAGGCTTGTAGCGAAGGGATATTCTCAACAACCGGGAATTGATTTCAATGAGACGTTCTCACCGGTTGTTAGAATGGAAACTATCAGGGTTGTTCTTGCTCTTGCAGCGCAGATGGAGCTTCAGGTATTCCAACTTGATGTCAAATCAGCTTTCCTTAATGGAGAGCTTGAAGAAGAAGTTTATGTACAACAACCTGAAGGATTTGGAGTGAAAGGGAAAGAAGATAAAGTGTATCACCTCAAGAAAGCACTTTACGGACTGAAGCAAGCTCCAAGAACTTGGAATAGCAAGATTGATGGCTATTTTCTCAAGAATGGATTTCATCGAAATCCTAATGAGCCCTCTCTCTATGTGAAGAAGCAAGATCATGATTTCTTGATTGTGTGCATCTACGTAGATGATCTTATCTACACTGGCACCAATATAAGGTTAGTCGAGGATTTCAAGCGAAAAATGATGAATGAATTTGAGATGACTAATTTAGGAGTCATGAAGTATTTTCTTGGAATACAAGTGAAGCAGTCCAAAGGAGAAATCTTTATTTCTCAAAAGAAATACACAGAAGATCTTCTGAAGAAATTTCATATGGAGAATTGCAAATCAATTTCAACATCTATGGCAGCGAATGATAAGTTGAGAAAAGATGACGGAGCAAAAAAAATAGATGCAAAACCGTTTAGGAGTCTTGTTGGTTCACTGATTTATCTCACAGACACAACGCCGGATATTGTTCAAACCGTGAGCATGATATCAAGGTTCATGAATGAACCAAGTCAACTTCATTTTGCAGCAGCTAAAAGAGTCGTGAGATACTTGCAAGGAATAAAGAAAATAGGCATCAAATATGTAAAAGAAAATGAGAGCAAGTTGATTGGATATAGTGACAGTGATTGGGGAGGTTCGTTGGATGATAGAAAAAGCACTTCAGGTTATTTATTTTGTCTCGGAACTAATGTTGTTTCATGGAGTTCAAAGAAGCAAAAAACAGTAGCGTTATCATCCGCGGAAGCTGAGTATATTGCTGTTACAGATGCAACTTGCGAAGCTATTTGGTTGAGACGATTACTAGCAAATTTGAAACAAGTTCAAAAATAGCCCACGGTAATTTATTGTGACAATATGTCTACGATAGCCATGACAAAAAATCCGGTGTTTCATTCGAGAACAAAACACATTGAGTTGCGACATCATTTCATCCGAGATATGGTGAGTAATGGTGAAATCAGCTTGGAATTCATTGGAACGAATGAGCAACCCGCAGACTTTTTAACCAAGGCGATCTATGTCGAGAAATTTCAAAAGGCAAGAGACATTCTCAAAATTGCAAATTAAGAGGGGGTGTTGGAAACGTAATTTGCATTTATTATCTAGATTCATGAATTATAATTATACATGCATTTGTCCATTAATGTACTAGAGGAGGAGAAACGTATCTATTCAATGTTGATTCATGAGTTAGGCTAGATACATGTTAAATCTTATCTATAAATACCCATGTAACTCAAGCCATTAAAAGTATCGAAGACACAAGAATTTACAATATAATATCTTCTCTTCTACAATCATAAAAAAGTGCAGCAGCACTATATTACGTATAATTTCGAGCATTCGATATTCCTTCTTTTTCATTCGGTTTTTAATCAATCCCCAACAACATCTCCTTCTATGTATTTATCCTCAGAAGCAGCTGTATCATGTGGCTTATAATGTATGAGAAAACTTCTTGAAGCTAGATCGATTTTTTTCCCTGCCTACTATATTGAGGATATAATATTAGCATAAAGTCACCAACAAATATGATAGGTTTATGTTTATGTACAGCTAGTCTCGCCTACTGTACCAAGGAAGCCATTGCAACCTGATAACAAGAAGCATCCAGATGATGATAACTATTCAGTAGCTTCCACGTATCCTACTTCACCGAGAGGCCAATTATTTAGATCTTCCCCTTATCCCGGATTCTATCTATTTCCTTGTAACTCATTCATTTGATTAAAGCGTTCCTCAACTATGTGAAGAACTGTGACATCGGCAAGAAAGTTTGGGACAACTGTTGCATCAGCCCCAACCTTCAGGTGCAATGACCGTGCAGAGAGAAGAAAAGAGGTAGTTATTCAATCAATCTGTTTCGTGTGAGATAATGCTGATCAGAATGCATCATCCTGTGTAGTTTCTTAACTTTTCTTGTGTTTTTAGTTTTATACAAAGTTAGAGGAGAAACATCAAGCACTGGAGGCAGAGAAAACTCAATGTGAGGCCAGGACAAAGGTAATTGTATATCTTATATAATGTAATCATCAATCAATATATTATGAATATTTAGCCTCCAACTGATTTAAATTTAAATTTTAATACATCTCCATTCATTTTAGACAACCATGATGGCATATTTAAGTAGGGAAATATTGTTATCTGTCCTGTATAATCAAGTACTGTGTGAGAAACATGCACTGTATGTATAGAACTCATTTCTGTTCTCATATTCCATGTAGAAACATCACTTTCTTTCTTTACTAGCTTCTTAACAGATAATTCCTTATACATCCCTTAGATTGTCTGCATTCCACATATTTGTAGGAAGAGACTGAAGCAGCAATCAAGCAACTAAGGAAGAGTTTGGCATTTAAAGCAAGCCCAATGCCAAGCTTCTACCACGAGGGAGCTCCACCAAAGGTCGAACTGAAAAAGGTGTTGCAACTTTGTTGATTCACTTCAAACCTATATCAAGGAATATAACACAATGATTGAGATTAAAAAATAATAATAAAATAAAATAAAATCTACTTAAGGTAGTTGCCTATAAATTGTTGTTTGAAAAGTAACTTACATTCTTTAGGGTATTGTTTTTGGGAATTTTAGACACCTCCTACTCGTGCAAAATCGCCAAAGTTGGGCAGAAGGAAGAACTTCAGTGACACTGGAGGTTTAGACAAAGGGAGTCGAGAAGGTCATCAGAGTTTTACCATTTACAGAGACAATCCTCAAATACTTCCAGCAACTAGGAAAAATGGGATCAATGTCCAGAATGGTACTGCTTCCATAACAAAAAAACAGCCCCAACAAGACTGATGTGGTCTTCACGTCTAAGATGAGTGAAGATTGATTTGTGGACATTGCTGTTCTTTCTTAGCGCATCGGTATGTTTTTCTTATTGCTGGGGAAGGACATTAACTTATTGAGGAGGTTATTCGGATCTTATGCCTTGTTGACTGTTGTGATTTGGGTATGTATTTAAACAGCAAAAATCTTTGCTGCAATTTGCGCTATATCAATGTTTGTGAAGTTTGAAACTTCATTAAGTTATTCCCGTGTATTTTGTAATTATGTGTCTGTAAATGTTATTCCTTTCATTCTGGACGTGTTCTGGCTGTCGTTATAGTGAGAACTTCGACTGTGAAACCTTGTTTGTGATAATTGTCAGCACAAGTTTCCTGTCTGTGACTTTTTGCGTTCTTCTTCCTCCTTTTCTTGATACTCAAAAGTGGATTTCTTTTAGGTAATTAGTGTTAAAAAAGATTCTGGCTTCTGTCCCTACAAATCCGTGAAGGATGCAAAGTTACCAGCACAAGGTCCCATCTACATGTGCTTTAATGGGGGTGGAAACCTTTGGCTTGTTTCAATTATGGTAATCATTATCAGACCGAAGTATGTGAAATAGAAGAAAGACGCCCATAATGTGTAAAGTGCTTTCAATTGAAATGTGTATATGTAACGATCTAGTTTCTATGTCCAAGTCGTCAACTTACATATTGTTCGTTATGGGAGATTTTAGCTTATTTTACTCCTCATGGCTTTAAGTCGTGTTTCCAAGATTCGAAATCATGATCTTTCCTTTAAAAGAGACTTAAATTGAATCTTGATACTAAATTATAAAACAGAATACTTTAGGTTTGAATTATGGGGATATAACAAAAATTTGTGAGGGATAAGATGGACTCAAACTATATTAAAACAGACAATACGTAAAAGAACAGTCAAGCACGAGACTCAACTTGTTTCAAAATCATATAAGAGCTCAACTTTGTTTCAATTTTTCTACCTCTGTTCATTATCTACAACCACAATTTCAACTTCATATAACAGCAAAAGGGTTGTTGGAATCAAATTGAACCATTCCAAACTTTAAGAGGAAATGTTGAATAAATTTTACAACCGAAAAGCTAAATCAGATTTACAACAGTAACTTTTCCATGAAAATATAAAGCTTCAAACTACACTCTACAAGATATTGCTTCTCATTGACATTTTGACAAATATTTGTGAGGAACAATTTAACTTATATTAATACTATCAACAATAATTTATCTGTGTGGATTAGAAACAAATTTGTGATTTCAGGTACAAATTTGAAAGTAAAATTGAGTTCATGTATTAATGTTTTGGCATAAGGAGTAAAGTTCATGTATTAACTTGCAAATTTTATGCCATGCCATAGCAACGTAGGCCTATAGTTAGCCGCATGGATTGCTCCGTTAATTTTGAAGAAAACAAATTCATTAATTTATGTATGAATTTGAAACAAAATTGAGTTTGTATATCATTTTAAAATAATAAATAACGTTCTTATCTGCCGTTCGCATAATTAACTCCACATTTTAGGAGCCGTTTGATACCTATTTTTTCTAAAATACATTTTTCTCTCTTTTTCTCAACCACACATTATTTATTATAATAATATTACACGTAAATAAAAAACATTTCCTTATTTTTTAACCACACATGTTCCATCAATTTACTATTCAAAAATGCATTTTTACATAAAAATGGCTCCCAAACACCCCTCCTTAATCGTCTGCTTTAGAGTATCTCTAAGAGACTGTCTATTTCTAAATAGCATATTTTATCATTTAGAGATCATCGATAAATTTATAGAGTAAAGTATTCCAACAAACTCTTTATATTTAACACTTACTTTTACTATTTCTAAAAAATATTTATTATTTTTCTCTATCTTTTATTTTGACTGATTTTTGTTTACATTATTTTATTATTTTCTTATACTAAAAATTGAAACAATTTGAATGCATTAACTTTAAATTAAACGGTTAATTTAAATAGTCTCTTGAATCATAATTTTCAAGGTTAATTCTTTAAAATAAAGAGCATTTTATATTTAAAGAATCTCTTGAAAATACTCTTACTATTTCGATAACAATTGTCAAAAAAAATTAAAGGGCCGCCCTAGAACCCTTGGACTGCCCGTTGGACATGTTTACTTTGGGGAAAGCTCATGTGACAACCCCTGGATGTCAAGAATATCCCGTTTACTTTTGACAAATTTGTCAACTGCACAATCTGACCAAAAAAGAATGTGCATGTCCCCATTGACATGTTAATTTTTTTCCCCTCTGGGTCTAGTCTTTTGATTATTTTCAGAAATTACTTGAACGATAGTTCAATAACGTGGAATGTGGCTGCATTACATGGCTTGAGTGTAGCAGGATTCATTGTAATTGGGTTATTGCGATTAAGAGTTGGAATCTCGACTTTAGGGATAATTTTTCCATAATCTTCTTTCAAGAATCACCTAAAGTTCCAGCTATGAGGAACAAAGGACGAAGTAGAATCGATTCCTCCTTTTAAGTCGCTCTTTGTTCATGGTCGAATCAAAGTGATATGCATTCAGTCGGTGGTGTCTACATGTAGTGCATGTATGTTACACGATATATTTGATCGTGCACACATCCTGTGCACCTCCATCTAATGCGGGACAATGTTTCAATCAGTTGTTTTATTTTGTCCTTCAACTCTCTTGATTTTGATCTAACTTTTACTAGCCAATCGTAATTCCTTTAGTTTTAAGTTTGGAATCACTCTTTTAGGGACATGACTGATTAATGTCCTCTATTTCTATCTTTATCAGCTTTAACTTATTCAGGGCAAAAAAAAAGGACCAATTATTTTAGTCATCACAACTTCATAACAAGTAAATTAATTTTTTAAGATGTGATTAATAATGACAAGGGAGATTAATTAGATTTGTTGCAGAGGACGGATAAAGCAAAAGCGTCTATTGTGTTGTCTAATCCTATTCGATTATTGCTTAGTGCTAAACATGCCTAAACATATGCATTACAACAATAATCGACAACCTTGGAAATGAAGAACTTCTGTAAGAATAATGTTATCTGACACCAAGTTAGATAGCAATTGTATGACACTAAATTATAGGTTCCATTAAATGAATCTAGTGACATTATCTTTAAGTGAATTTATGGTTTAATGCTATGTAATTTTTATCTAAACTGGTGCTTGATATCAATGTTGCTAGATATGACTACTTTCTCAATAAATACTTATTGCTTACCTAGCGTATGTGTGTACGTATTCATCAAGAAAATTAATGCAACATATTAAATTCATAATTGGGATAAATACATGTCACATTCTTAAACAGCTTAAGGTCTAACCAGAAATTAAACGAGGTCCGCCCCACATAGGGTGGTCGAGTTGGTAGAGTAGGTGAGCGTGGAAATCTTTGATCATGAGTTCGATTCCCCCTACCAACACTTTCTTGGTCGAGCCTGTCGCACAAGGCTTGCCTAGTGCGGTTTACTTGGTTGGCGTGGTTTGCAGGTTATTGCTTTAGCTCGAGGGTTTACCCAGTGCGTACTTGAACGGCAGCGACTGCGGGTTCCCCCATCATTAAAAAAAAAAATAATAATAAAATAAATAAATAAGTTAAACGAGGTCTGCACGTTGAGAGAAGTGTTGAAAAAAATGTACATATAAACTTTCAAATCATGTGGTGTATGCCACTAATCCCGGTCTTAATGTAATGAAAGTAATAGTAATCATATGTAAATTACTAGAAAAGGACAGCCCTTCTCTCATCCTCACGTATATATAAAGGCCCCATGAAAACAATGCATGTATAGAGTCGTGTTGAAATCAAACAATCCATCCTCTCTCTCTCTCTCTCTCGATAGATTTGTTCTTTGATACATATGTACACATGAATTGTTGAGGGGAATGTTGTCTGGTTCGAGACCATTCGATGATATTCAGAGATCCTGCGAATGATCTTGGACCAGGCTTCATTCCCCCCAACTTCTCTGAAAATTAACAGACGAGACGAGACGAGACGAGACGAGACGAAGATAGGTAGATCTGCGATCAGAACTCAGAGCCATTTCTTGCCTTATAGATAGATTTATTGCTGAATTTATATATGAATTATTCTCATGGTTCAGTTATTCCATAATTATGTGTTTCAGTTTCAAATATAATCACTTTTTTGTTTCAATTGAACTGCCAAACAAGACTTGGATGATTAAGAGATGTAGGAGGGGGAAGGCAGCACTGCTCGGCTCGGCCACAGGCGATACAATCTCTGGTTATAAATTATTCACTCAATATTTTCTTATTTCGTGAAGGCATGGATTGGTAGGGAAGATTATATAAGAGAAGAATCCAAGAATTTTGTAAATTTAAGTTGTTACCGAAAGAAATAGCTGCCACTCTGTTTGGTTTATTATTTGAAAGATTTAAGCCAAAACGACCCTTAGCTTGTTTGATCCCCATTTTTAAAAAAATACATTTTTCTCTCTCTTATTTTCAATCACACATTCTTTAATAAAATAATATTACACGTAAAATCGAAACTTTTCTTTATTTTTAACTACGCATTCTCTATCATTCTACAATTCAAAAATATATTCCTAGCATTTTAATGTGGCTCCAACAAGCCCTTCGTCATTGACCGTGTTGCTTCTGTAGGTCTACCTACAGGCTCTGTTGAGATCATGTAACTCTTATAAATGAGAGTCCTTTAAAAAAAATAAAAAAAAAGGTTGAATCCCAACCTTTACGTTCCCACCGCCTCGCCCTTAAAATTTTGTGAGGGAGGTAAATCGCGAAATGTATCCCAACGGGTCAGAGAACAAGAGCAAAAACTTTTACTACAGTATACCACTAGGATTAGTAATATCGTCTACGTCAATAGCTAAAACTTTTTGTTCGGGTGAAGACAAAAGTCCGATTTTTCCGGATCAAATAAACACTTTTACAAATTTCACATGTCCATGGTCAATACAAAATTTACATATATAACAATCACTCCTGACCAGGGAAAAGGATTTATCCCGACTTTGTGTATTAAAGATCATTTCATGATAAAATTTTATGGTAATTGTCAATCCACACTTGTTGCAACACTCTTCTTTATATCTTCAAAATAGGAAAGAGAATTGAATAATCCACAATTTATATATTTTTTTAAATATACTTTGTTTTTCCTATAATTTTCTATTTTTTCAACAAATCCGTTGAAAATAATAGGGATGCAAATAGTGTGAAAATATGACAAGCAGAATTCTCTTCAAGAAACAAACAAAGTTAGGTTTCATTTTTTCAGGGTTGAATTTTTTCTGTGGACTTTACTTGCTTCAAGTAACAAA